ACGAAATCTAATCCCAGAATTCCCACTCCTGCCAGAATCAGTAGAGCTCCCAGTACTACTGCGGGCCATTGCTTGATCTCCTGCCAAAGCCTGAGGAACAGACCGTCAGCCTCTCTAATACTGTACATTTTGGTAAATGCCTAATCACAGTATGTTTTTCTTAATTGCCAGTCCTTTGGCAACACAGTCATTTGTGGGTCAAGCCGACACAGCTCTGAGAACGTGAATCCGAGAGCAGACAGAGAGAAAACGAGAGGTTCCTCACCGAACTCGCTGGAGCAGAAGCTGCTCTGGATGGTCGCGGTCCTCTTACAGCCCTGAGCACACAGCGGGTTAGCGGCGCCACCTACAGGGTGGGAAGAGAGACGAGACATGAAAGACCTGCGGGCGACGCAACGCAAAAGATGAACTCTGATACACTTGCAGGGCATGTCAGAGTGTGCTTGCGCCTGCGCTTTACAGAGCCTGCAAAACCTTGCAGGGGTATCATATTCCATGTTTCGACAGCCTGATAAAGAGGGAGGTGTATCTGCTTGAAGAGCCTGAATAGTGGGCACAGAGGGTGTGACTTCAACTCTGGCCTCAGTGCGCTGTGGCTAGACAATGAGAAATCGTTCTGGACATTGGGACTGCAGCACCAGCAGCTTGCTGCTGCAGGGACACTGCGTGACTGTCACGCTCATAAACCCCTCCTCTTAAGGACGCTCCAGCCCTTCCTTGTTTTCTACCGATCCCCTGCACCTGCCTCCGGTTCCTGCCCCCCGTCCTCTAAAAGCCAGGCGTTCCTGCCAATCTGGGCTCAGCTCTGGAAGACGGGCGCCCGGAAGCCTGCCTACCCGCGAGTCCAGGAGCGACTCGGCGGCATCGGCTTCTACGGCATCCTGACCTTCTGGGTCCAGGACTGGAGCGTCTGGTCCCGTTACCCCCTTTTGTTCCCCGACCCTCCGCCGGATCCCACTCCGGCTTTTAACTCTGTTTGTCTGTGTCTGGATGGATCTCCCAGTTTGTATATTTGCTACGTTCATGGATTTGCCTTGGACTCCCTTGGACTGTCTGCCTCGGCCACACCTCCCCCGAACACCAGCGCACCACGGACACGCCCCCCTGTTTTCCTTCCAGCCCCTAACAGGCCCTTTCCCCCGTGTTTTCCTCACTCCTCCCTGGATTGTGTTGTCTGCACGGGGTCCTGATCGAACGCCTCGTGACAATGGCCCCGGTTCAGTCCTGCAGCGACTGGTTCGGCTGCTTCATGGTTGAACTGGTAGAGACACTGGAGTGACGAGTTCACTGGAGTCTTAACGCAGTCATGCACTTACTCTTGTCGCTGGGGCCAGGTCGTCTCAACACCACCCTGGTTCCGTTTCGGGCTGGTTTAAGTCCAGGTCGGACGGCCGGTTTGGGCCCGGGCTTGGCTGTGGGCTTGGCTGTGGGCTTGGCAGCAGGTTTGGTACCGGGCTTGGGGGAGGGCTTGACCGGGGCCTTGGCAGTGGTCTTGGGCTTGGACCCTGGCGCGGGGGTGACTTTCGGTTTGAGCGTGGGTTTGGGCTTGACGGGTTTGGTGACGGCGGGTTTAGCCGGGGGTTTGGGTCCGGGTTTGGAGGGAGGTTTGGCGGCTGATTCTGGTACCAACTGGGGGCCTAGCCCGTTCTCCTCCCCGGCCACGGTGCTGGGCTTGGATCCCCGCGGGATGCTGGTGTAGGTGGCCATGAACCCGTCAGAGGTCACACTGAGGTCAGACACAAACTGCACCAGCAGCTCGTTCCCATTGGACACAATGGTGCTGCAGAGAGACAGGAGGAAAGTGAGAGGAGAGTGATGGAGAGAGAGAGGAGAGAGAGAGGAGAGTGATGGAGAGAGGAGAGAGAGAGGAGAGTGATGGAGAGAGAGGAGGAGAAACGAGAGAGAGGAGGAGAGTGATAGATATGTATATGTCGATATTATATAATATGTCTTTGTTGTAAATGTCTGTAACATGTCTGTAGATTTTATTTTACTTCTATTTTTTGTTTTGTTCTATGTTAATTTTATTATTTTTATTTGCTTTGGCAACACTGATTGTACCCATCGGTCATGCTAATAAAGCACCTTGAATTGAATTGAATTGAATTGATAGAGAGACAGAGGAGCACAGAGGGGAGAGAGGAGAGAGGGAGGAGAATAATGGAGACAGATGGACAGTGACGGAGAGAGAGAGGAGGAATAAAGATAAAGAGAAGTGGAGAGGAGAGTGAGAGAATAGGAGCGAAAGTGAAGGCCAAGAAATGGGCAGAGAAAAAGGAGAGAGTGTGACATGAAGGACAGGAGGGAGGGAGGGATGGGCAGAGAAAAAGGAGAGAGTGTGACATGAAGGACAGGAGGGAGGGAGGGATGGGCAGAGAAAAAGGAGAGAGTGTGACATGAAGGACAGGAGGGAGGGAGGGATGGGCAGAGAAGGTCACCACTGGACTCCTCCTCTCCATTGGCTGAGACCCAGACACACAGTCCCTCACTCCTCCTCTCACCCGGGTGCTATGTCTCCGCAGTACTTCCCGATGCGCCGCGAGTCGTCGGACTCGCCGCCGTTGAAGAACGCCACATAGTCATAGCGGCAGTAACTGTCATGCTCCAGATCGAACTTGTCGAAGGTCACCTCGATCACCTGGCACAGACGGATAATACAGTGTCAGACAGCAGGACACTGCTCACTACAGCCCCATACAGAGCACCACAGTGTCCACACGGCAGGACACTGCTCAGTACAGCCCCAGTGCCCAGTGTCAGCACAGTACAATACTGCTCCATACAGCAACACAGTGTCCACACAGCAATGTCCTGCTGTACTGGCTGTACTGTAGACACTGCTAG